TTAAGTTTAACTTAATTGAAGTTTTTTGACTCATAATTTGAGAAATTCAATCTTCATCACATGGCAGATAGACAAATAGAATGTAAATTATATAAGATAATTCATAATTCACATGAAAGCTATTTAATATTAAATCATATTACTATCCAACGAGAAATGCACTCAATTGATACTAACGAACTGCATAAATCTCTTTTTATTTTTCATAAATCAGAGCTTGATACTATCATAGGTTTGTCATCACATTACATGTATAAATTGGAATTATTTTTTTCAATCCAATAAGATTGATATTATGTTTCAGCAGCACATGCAGGATTAATTTTGAAACTTTACATGACAATAAAACCGATAAGTTGGATTGTATATTTGGTTTACAATGTTTAAAGCATTTTTATAGAGTAAGAATAGTTCAAGAACTTACAGGTCTACTGTATAGTACATAAATATCCAGACGTATCAGATATAGCTGCTCCAAAATTTAATAATAAGCAATTTTATAATAATTTATTGCTTCATAAAATTAAATTTTATTTACAAGACATGAAGAAATCCATTAGAACACTATCAGGAACGTAAAAATTTTCAACATCGTAAATTTATTCATATCATATGTGTGTATGTACAACTTAGTATTCAACTGTCATGTGCCAAAAATTAGGCAACAAGAAACTATAGTAAAAAGCAGACTGTAAACGAAATGTTACGATGCAATAAAAAATGAAAATTAGTAAAAAGATTTTCCATTCTTCTGCTCTTGATGCCTGCATGTTAAGTATTGATTTTGGGAAGCTCATTATAGAGGAAAAATATTTTAATGAATTGCCAATTTAATATTCTTATGTGCTTACATAAAGAATCTCTTTTTAGTGCCACTAATGAACCTTTTATACGAGAATGATGTCAAAGGAACTTGCAATGCATACATTACGGATGTTTATCAATAAACTATACATTTAATACTTCATGACAATTAGCCTTAATATGAGAAATTCTTTGCACTAATTGGAGATTTCCAATTCAGATTGAGAGGATTTAATTTGTGGTATTCTTAATGGATGTCTCTTCAAGTTGAGTACTTTGTGTAATCACTCAAAACAAGTGCCTCATTTCATTAAAATTAATTTGGTTAAAGTCTCAATCTTATTGCCTCAAAGGAAAAAAATCTTCAAAAACCTCAAAACTTTATCAAAACAGATCTTGCATAATAATGTCTTCTTCTTTTGTATTTTTGTTTTTGGAAACTTAAAACGAAAAGCCTTCCAATAATCAAAGCTTTTACTACACATTTTCATTTTGGCATAGACAAATCGATCTCAACCAGAAGAAAAACTAAAGGAAACATAGTTCATATGAAAATCAATAAGTTTCCGCATACATTATGTACGAATGATTTCAGTCGCTGGAATGATGAGAACTTTTTAAAATAATTTCATTTTGTACTGTCTACGAAAGGGGAAAGCATTGAAAGCTCAAAAACATGCGCAACTATTTTTTTATGTTTTTTCAAGTTCAATAAATATTTTTCCTCACTTCCAGTCGGTTAGCTTTTTCTCTGACTCTGTCTGAGCTTTCGTATTCAGTTTCGCGAAAGAAGTCCGCAGAGGCAGAAGCTTCAAATTTTGTGTGATTTGTTGTTTTGTGAGATTGCAATATATTAGAAGAAAATAAAAGTAATATTAATGTGTGATTGAATGACCTAATATCACTAGAATACAGCACATTGCACGACAACTTTTCTTTATCTTCAAAATTTCTCTTTAAAGTTCTCTACGTAAAGGAATTTTTTCCAATCGATTTCTCAACTCCACACACAAAAAAAATAGTAAAAAATCATTCTCTTCTTATTTTCTCCTATTTCCTTTCAATCTTTCATTCTTGTTAAAGAAATTTTCCCCTACAAATGTGAGAGCATTATTAAATTGAGAGAGAAAGTTGGGAAAAAAGGCGCTTGCGTGTATTATATAACACGAGAAATTGTGGAAATCTACATTCTTGTGTCAATAGAAATACAGAAAAAAAAAGTAGAGAAAGAAGAAAGTTTCTGATCACATTTTCGCATTGACATCGTACACATTCTAGCGTGTGTTACACTTTCGTGCGGATTTATTTTGTCATAAGCAAGGATTGAAGAAATACAAAATAATAAAGTCATAGAAGAAAAAGTTGATATTATTTGTTTTTAACAACTACCTTCTTCACTGTATTTTTATTTTAGTCATTCACATCGAGAGTTTAAAAGCAATAGAAATTGAACTTAAAGGAATTTTTAATCAAAATTAAAAAAAAATACATAAAAAAGTTTAAAAAAATTTATTTAAAAATAAAAGTGATTATTTATTCAGCATACCAAAAAAAAGTTATACCAAAAGAAAGAATTTAAAAAAAAAGATAAACAAAACAAAAGTTGTTTAATTGTTGTACAATATTATTCAATAAGGTAAGGACATAAATGGAAATTGTCTGTGTATATTTTTGGTGTGATGTTATATTTTGTTATTGATTTTTCAACAGCACACAATATTTATCAATTAGTCGAGAATTAATTATGAATAGAGACAAAAATAATTAGTTGTGGATGATTAAGGGGGGCTATTAAAATGCAATTAACAACTATAAAAACATAAACATCCAAAATAATTAAATTGTATTTTTAAGCTACGAGTTTGCATGTTTTTTTTTCTAAATTATGTTAATATTTTGAAGATTAATGATAAAATGTTCAAATTCAAAAAACATGAATAAGTCTTCCCAGTCTAGCCAGAATCTGTCAACGAATGTCATGCAAAAGAGCCAAGTTATGGAAATTAAAAACGATTACATAAGCCTTGATATTCAGCCAAAAATGCATTTCAATCGACAGACAAAAAACCCCTAATATCCAAATTAAAATATATTAAATATTGATCATCATTTTCGAATGCAATTCAATATTTTATTAAAATTGTTTTCAAAACAATCTGCAGCTATTGGAAACTCAAACCAATTCAATTTTGTTATGGATATTTTAATTTGCCATCAATTTATGTAAATCAAACAAAATCAAAAAAGGATTCATAATAAAAATCCAATGAATCATGAAACTCCAATTAAAAGTTTCAGTGATTGATTAAAAATCGAAATTGACAGCTTTTTTTAATAAATTTTCCATTAATCGTTAAAAGCATCAATGCGATCACAGAAAATGAATATCGAGGAAAAAGTATTAAGGCCAATTAAATATCACGGATTGACATTATCGGATTTCATGATTAATTTTCATTTCCAATTTTGAAGCCTTATATGAATCATGTGATCAATATTACACAACTTGTACAATGTGACTGATGATATAATTTTTTTTAAATTCAAAAGACAGACGTTGCAAATGAATATTACATGTATTTATAGCACAATTGTCATCAAAATTATTTTTTAAATTAAACATGGAATTAGTTGAGTAATGAAGGATTTTTCCATTATTTGAATCTGAGTTACCAAACAGGATTAAATTAATAAAACTAGTTGTAATAAGCATACATAAAATTAGAACGAGCAATTTTATGAGCAAAAATTGTCACTAAAAAGAGAAACTTTTAAACAATGTAAAATTGTTCCTGACAACTACAAAGTTTCATCTGTCTGAAAAATTTAACAATTTATATAAAATATTTTGTTTGCTTTATTTTACAATGTACAGAGGAAATTCTACACACATTATGCTGTTTCCAATTTTAATTTTGTACCTCGATGAAAGTTTCAAAAGTCTGGAATGACATTTAAATTAAATTAGATTTTCTAAATATAATATACTGGATGCAACGTTATTAACAGTAAAAACTAGAGCTCGATGTCGATAGGGATCTAGTCAACTCGGATCGACTTCGAGCTCTGTTAAAAAATGTTTCGTAAAATTTCCCATTTTGATTCGTTGTACGTGATTTTTCATTTTTTCCCAACTGTCAACTAAAAAAATCATCACATTCTTGACATTTAAATTTTTCAACGCTCATAATAAAAACAGAGGGAGTAATGTAACAAAGCAGTTACTGCTTGATATTATCATCTACAATTTCCTAGCGAGAAATTTAATGTTATGTAATATGCTTTGTAATTGAAACACGAGAAATTTGTCCTTATTTTAAAAGAAATACATCTTTGAAGACTTCTTATTTTACACTTTGAATGTAATTGTTGTTAATAGAATTCTAGGAATTAGGAATGACACAATTTAATGAAAATAAATTTAAGGTTCAATTCAGGAAAATTCGATCATTTTTAAACATTTCTGTTATAAAGTTTTGACCAAGGCGTGGATACTCAGGATTAATCCTTAAAAAATCCCAAAAATCCAAAAAAAATCCCTGAGGCAATAAACATGAAAATGTGAAATCCTTTTTAAAATCTATGATTCATTTGATGAATGACTTTGGGATTTAAAAGTGATTTCAAATTTTCATGTTTATTGGCTCAGGAATGTTTTAAAGATTTTTTGGGATTATTCAGGATTAATCCTGAGTTTCCACGCCTTGATTTTGATCAATTCAACTATCTTGATTCAAAGACGACGATTCTTTTAAAGATTGAAATGAAAACAAATGTTTTTGCTTCAAAAAAGTATAATTCTAAGAAACAAACGTTGTTAAGAAATTGTCTAAATCAATTTTAATGCTTAATTTAAACCTTTGAATTGGATAACAATGTCAATTCTGTTAGATTTTCCAACTTCTTAAAGCTTAATTTGATTTCAAATTTCTAAGAAAATTTATAAAAATAAAAGAAAAATTCAATTTTAATATCAAAAGGTTTATCATACAATAATCAGTTCAGTTCTTCTTACATAATGGCTAACAAGATAATAAGCTAGTAAATTCTCATGCATGAAACATACTCGAAAGAAAGAAAAATTAACGGCAAACGAAAAATAAGCAACGTTGCCAAATTTCACATTATCTTTCTACACCCACAGAAGTATAACTCAGAGTCATATCCAAAAAAATATCTTCCGTATTGACAAAAACAAAATAAAAAAGAATCACAAAAAAAGTGAGGAAAAGAGAAAAAAATTTGCAACTCATGTAAATTGAAATTTAAAGCAATTAAAAAAGTTGTGAAAGTGAATTAAGAAAGTTCTCAAGTGTATTAATATTCTAATTACTGAAATTCAATAAAGCAATTGTGAGTAATTTTAAATGAAATTTAAATACGTGCTGAAAAATTTATCGACAAATGAGACCATATAAACAATAAAAATCAATAAATATGGGAAGATTGCTCATTCTGCGGTGAATGATGAAGTTCATGCATGAGTCATAGGCTATAATTGATGATGCTAAGTGGAATTAATTTTCAATGCTGAATAGCTGTAAAATTCCATATTTATTTATTTATTTACACACAAATTAGATTACAAACTTACATCAAAACAAAGAGAACAGAATGATTTAGTAAAGGCCAAAAGTTGTTGATAATCAACCTCGATCAATTAAAATTTCTTGCAATTTCTCACCATAAGTTGGTTCTGCCTGAGGAAGGCTGTCATGAAACAGAAAAGGCAGAAAGGAACAGAAAAAAAAAATCATGTAAAATCCTCGCCTCGAATGTGAACGAAAAAGAAGGAAGAAAAAAGGGAAAAATCGATAACTTTGAGGTTGAAAATGCTTTCTCGTGTGCTACTCGCCTTTCTTCACACGAGGATGGAATGGAAAGGAGGCATTTTCTCCCCACAACACAGTAAAAAATTTATTTATAAAACTAGTTTGTGAGGAGAGCTTTTTTTCTGTGTTTTTGTAGCTTCCTTTCTGTATTCTTTTGAAAGTTTAATAACTGCTTAATAAACCAAAAAAACTTTCACTATACCTTAATGCCATGTGCTATACTTATCTATCTATTGTATCATATCTGTTACACTCACATATTTATAAAAGAGGAAATTATACACTTATGACAGGTAAAGATGACATACTCGTGATATTGAACTTATAGTTTAACGAAGCGGAGTGCATGAACATTTTCCTATGTCGGAAAAATTGATTTTTCGTCGATTCACGTGTAAACACCATTTAATAATTGATTTTATCACTCCACCGTATTTGAGTCTATTTTACTGAGTGGACTTACCTTAGATTCCTTAGTTCTTATCCTAGCCAGGCAATAGAAGTTGATTGAAATATCAAGATTTACTTAATTTGATGATAACGAACTGGTCACGAAAGTGAATAAATGTCATTCGAAAAGTTTTCTTATTTTTAGAACTGTCACAGTCTAGACTGTAATCTGTAAAACTTTTCGCCATATGTACATACAACTATTTCAATAGCTCCAAAGTGCAATGAAAGTTAATTAAATTTACAAGTTTTTTAATCTGAAACTTTTTCTTTTAGATTTAAATTAAAAAAAAATCTATGCTGCACTTTCAATACAATGAAGATCTATAGAATTATTAAGGAGCATTTATAAAGTTTTTGAATTTTAATTTCTTGTAAAAGATTTTTTAATTTAAAGTTTTTCTTAACGAGTAAATTGGAAATCATTTTACAAAATTCTACCAACCTTAATTCTGTCCCAACAAAATTGAAAAATCAACTTTGTCAATATTTACTGATCGAGTGTTCGACAATAAAGAACGTGCTTCCATTCATTGTGGAAAATATCCCCGCAGGTGAAACGTAAACGGAGACGGATAAATTCACTAGTTTGTTACTTTATTATCATGATTGCGTATTTTTCATGAACCTTTAAATGGAGTAAATCGAAAATCAATTGTTGAGTTTGTCTTGCGGAGCTTCATTAGGTATTAGCGCTAGTTTGAATTCTTCCCAAGAAACTTCCAAAATAATTTTAAAAATCAACAAAAAATAAGCAAATCTAGAACTGATAAACTATAAAGTAACTCAAGAAAAGTTTCCTTACTCAAAAGCGGAAATAACGAAGTCAAATTAACAATTCGTTTCTGAAATCATTTGACTTATTTGACTTTCTGATTTTATTTAAATTTTTTTTCGTCCTTCTATTAAATCATCTTCCGTAAACATAGAAGAAAATGATGATTACGTAAAAATTTATGCTTTCGTAATAGAAGTTGTAAGAATAATTGGCATTAAGGAGGGGCTGATGATAAAAGTAGAAGAACAAGTTGGAAAATTATTGAAGAAGTCATGTCTATGGTAGATTTTTGAATATTTGGAAAGAGTTTAGCTTGTTTACCTGAAGAGATTGGAAACTGATCAATCACGTTTCTGATTTGATAGGTTTTTGGTTAAAAGATCCATTATGATGAACATTTTGTGAACATTTTGTGAACATTCCAAAAAGATTGGTTAATTTGAAAATCGATTGTTGGAGGAAGCAAATTGACATCATTTTATTTAGAAACGCGGCTAAAGCATTAAGCAAATTGACAACGAAAGCTTTTCTATTCATTCTTTATCAACTGTCTCTGTTCATAATAAAATATTCAAACATTTTCTTTCAAATTGTCTATCCATGATCGAATTAATTTTGGGAACTTTTTGCAAAATCATCAAAAAACCTAGTTTTTTTTTAAATTTTTTTCTTTATTTTAACTCAAAAAAGCTTTTTTAAGGGCGTAATGATAACTTATAGTTTTGAAATTTTAAAAAATATTTAACTTCTCAATTTTCATTTATTTTTTTCAGATTCTTTCGCTTCTCCAAAACCTAAATCTCTTCTCAACGTGCTACATCATAAATTTTATATACAAAACGTGAATTTAATCGAAAAAAAAAATTCTACAAAACAAAAAAAATCCAATCAGTTTTATTGTAAAGAAAGCAAAGTAAAAAAAGCAAGTCAGCAAAATGGCAGCATTCGTGGCTAAACAAATGGTCGGAAACAAGCTCAGCGCCGTTAAAGGTAAGAAAATGATTTTCTTGCAACTTTTATTTTTGTGCTACTTGACAATTTTTGACAGAATAATTGAACGACGTGATAAGAAAATTCTATAAGCTATACAGCATTCATCGAGAATTGAATTTGTTTGAATTCTAAACGTCTATTGTGACTACTTGATACCTAAAGTTTATTCGAATTGCTGGTGATTTTTGAAATTAATTTCCTATTTTTGAACTCTTGCTTTTACTAAAACTACAAAAACATTCAAAAGTTCATTAAAAATCATAAAAGAAGCATAAGCAAGAGCTATCCATTCAAAAAAGTTGATCATGTGAATTTTATTATATCTAATTTTTGAAACGAAAATTTTATGAATTAAAAGTGCATTAATTGAAGTTTGTTTGCGTTGCTTTTGAGTATTTAGGTTAATTTATATTACCAGAATTTGGCTGCTCGAGAATGCTTAAAAAGAGGAAATTAAATAACTTCTAACAATTGATTTTAAAATAATGAAAATCATGCAGTTTCAATTATTAAAAAAAAACTTTCATTTTTGATGAGAAAAAAGATGAAATCGAGAATTTCCCAACATAAAATAAAGCTTGTCTGTTCATTAATAATTTTTTCCATTCCAACTTAAAACCAGTTTATAAAATTTTCAGTTTTTAATTTATTGGATACTCACGAGAAAATTAAACTTTTTCTCATCTCCTTCCTATCTTAAACCAAAGTTTATGGAACTAGTTTTATATGCATATTTTTTTGCCCGAATTTATAGATTTTTCTTCTCTTATGGAAGATAAACAGTTTGGAAAGTGGAGAAAAAGTTTTGCTTGTTTTTTTTTGTTGGCTGAGAAAATTCAATTAAGAGAAATAAATTTTCGATAATACAAAAGAAAAATATCTTTTAGAATGCATCTGACAGGAATTTATAGCCTGGATTATCGCCATGATTTATAATTTTTGGACTAAACTAGCTTTAACATTTCAACTACCTTTAACCTTAATTTTAAAATCTCATGCGGCAATTCCAAAAATAACCCTTCCGACTGAAATTCCTCTCGTCAGTTCAATGACTTGTACAAACTTTACAGAAGCACGAATTATGAAATGAAAATAACCTCTTGACATTTCACCAAAAAATAAGAACATTTCTCTCTGCTGTTTTATCGAATCTGATATTTAAACTTCTTTTGCGTGTTTCTCAATATGCCCTTGATTTCCTTCTTCCGTTCATCACCCACGTTGAGGATATTCCAAGAAATATTATCATCAAAAAATTTCTTATTCAACCTTCATTTCTGTTTTGAGCAGTCGGATATGATTCGTATCTTGTTTTTAGTCATAAAAACACAGAAAGTAGTCAGCGGAAGGAAGCTCCAAAATAGAAACAAAAAATTAAGACAATAAAATATCAAATTTGATTTGACTTAAGTAAAAAAAACGCACACACAATCGTAAATTATTACCATAATATTCTAATTTCAACCTTAGTTCGTATACTAAACATCCTTGAAAGTTGCTTCATATAAAAAGAAAAAAATTACAGAAGTCCTCGTGTTATTGATCGAGGGACTTAAGCGCATTTTTGTGTTAGCAATCAGTATTTCATTATAATTAACAAATAATTACAATGAATTTCCATATAGAAAGGCTTTATCATTTAACGGTTTTTTGAAATTCAAATTTTACAACGGCTACAAAAAATTTGAAATTATAGAGGTAAAATAAAATTTGGGCAGGTTACACTGAAAATAAAATAAAAATCATTAATTATAGCACAAAAACATGGTTTGAAGACTTTTAACCACTCGATGGGCTGATAAATCGATAGTAACGGAGCAAATAAAACAAACGCGAGCTCTCTACGATGTCTGGTTAAAAAGTTTTTCTTCGCCCGAACAGCCGAACAATGTGTATTATTAAGCTACCTTTTCGAAACAAGTTTCAAAAATGCGCTAAAAAATGAGAATATATTTCATGATGAAGAGCAATAAAGATTGAGAAAGGAAAAGAAAAAAATTCTTTTATTGCCAACTAGAAGAGATGGATGTTAATCATGAAAAGGAATACAAATCTATCTTTCATGTTATACTTCAATGCGACAAAAGTTCATGAAAATTGGCAGCACAAAGCCTTATTTTTATGGACTATCATGAATCAAGAAAATATAAAATTTAATATTGAATTGAGGAAATTATATGACTACCTGCATGCATGCTAGAAAAGAATCATTTATTGCCGTCTAATATCATAAATTATTTCTGATTAAAGCTCCTTTTAATTAACTCAACAACATAATTAGTCAATTAGATTTTCTATAGAACTAAAGATTAGGATGTTATTGATTTTGATAAATAATATTCAATAAAGTTTGGGCATTTTTGGCACTAAGTGACGACGAGTACATAGTACACGAATTGTATATGGATAAAAAGCAATATTATTGTAATTGCATGTGATTTCCATTTTCCACCGGAATACCTTCTATGTTTATTGAAATTTTGCCACTTTTCATTTATTTTCTCTGTTGAATACTTGCCAAAAAGATAGCTTAGCATTTATCCTTGGATTTTATTATTTTCTATTAAATTTTGTGACACACATATTCTCGGCATAGGATGTAGAAAATAGACTAGGATGTGGCTTTGAAGCGCATTATATTAGAACTAGGAACAATAACTTCAGAGCAACGGTCATGAAGATTGACCATTCTGTCTGATTTCTAGATAATTCTTTCTATGGACCAAAAATAAGCAGCTCAGAAAGATGAAGAATCAAAAAATTACAGATCCATACCACAAAAATTGTCCTAAAAAATTAAATTTTAAATTTATTGGATGCTTTCATATTTCATCTTTTCCTTCTTCTATGTTGTGCCAATTTTAATAAAGTGAAAGAACATCAAAGCCAATAAAACAAACGAATGCGCATGAGTTTTTCGTACTATGCATAAGATATAATCCAAAGCACTTTATTAGATTATTGGCTCAATCTTCACCAGAAGTTTCAAAATATATCAAAATAAAAATTATTCTAGTTTGATGTTGAAAGGCTTTTTAATTTTCAGAGTTGTGATACAGATCGCCTGTCACAGACACATGTGATAGATCTCTCACTGATATTGCCTATCACAGGCACTGCCTGTTAACATGTAAGGGACACCCGATCAGCACACATTGAAATGTTTGCCACCCTGCAGCTGGGTTGATATTATAATTAGAAGCAAGCTTGGAAGCAACTTCCAACTGGATGCTAAATGGTTGCCACGTGGATGTCATTGCCAATTAGACAGGTGATTGCCGGTGACAGATCACAACTCTGTTAACTTGAAATCCTCGATTTTAACAATGGTTAACCTTAGTCCAATAATTTGAAAATTTCCAAAACAGCTTCAATACAATAAAATTGATGATGCAAATTTAAGTTAAGTCATTTTACTCCACAAATAATGCCTCCTCAACATTAGCACTTATCGCATTCAATCTTGGCAATATCTTATTATTTTTTCATGCCTCGTATTCAGTTACTTACTAGATTTCCCTCCTCGTATTTTCTTCGGCCTGTCAATTTAGCCAAAATATTTTCTCTTTCGTGAAGGTCTTGGATGCCATTAAGAAAATGAAATTCTTTGGAACAAACTTATTACTGTGTAAATACATTTCTATCAAGGAGAGAATAACACAAACAGACTTACCGAAAAAAAGATGAAACATTGGAGCTAAGAATCTACTTTGATTCTTTTACTACACACAATATCATGTTCGACTATATCAAGTATTAATTTTCTAAATGTCAAGTTCTACAAATAAAGACATTCTTTTCAAAGTTTAAAGAACTTTTCATCATGTCTTTAATTTATCATTCATCGATCAATCAAGTTAAAATGTTATTTACATTGAGATAAATTGATTGATGAAAACTGAGCACCAAAAAATAATCCTTGGATTCTTCTGTAAATTTGATTTATGTTGAGAATTACTTTAGCCGAAAAATAAGTTTTTTTTTGTGTCAAATTTTTTTGTTTATCGACGATTATTATTGAAAGATGCTGCAGACACAAAATATCTTAAATTGATTGATTGACTTTGTAATTAAATAAAGTTCAAAGTTTTTGAAAATTCATTCTAAATTAAATTTATTTTTTTTGCCAAGAACAGAAAATTTTCATGCGTCATGCTTTATTTGATTCTTATTTAATGGATATTTGAAATTATTGAATTTATTTCAATTAAAATTATTTTATAAAATAGATTTATAATTTGAAAAATGGATTTTCATCATCCCAGCCATTAGCTTAATATTGGCTTTATTTCTCATTAAGCTGAATTTCTGGTCGACAAAAATTAAATCGGTTTGTCGAAAAAAAAACTTGTTTTTGCACAATTTGTCATAAACTCCCACTCTTTGTTCTAATGATTGATGATTTATTTTTAGCAATACAGAAATAAACCTTTATTAAATCATAAATCCTCAAAATTATGCATTAACCAACACCAAACTACAATATTTAAGTAAAAATACATGAAAATGTTTAACGAAACACAAAAATGATGGAAAACCCATGAAAATTAAAACGTGCAAACATACAAAATGGTAATTAATCAAAGTATAAGAGTAAATAGCGCCATAATATACACGAAAATGTCATTAAGATTATTCATACACATCAGTCATGGTAGCGTACGTATGTGTAGTAGCTAAGTAGCCGTACTTCTGTCATTAATGACTGATTTTCAAGTGCTAAATCAAGAATGAATAGTAGTTGGGGATGTATTCTATTATAGGAAATGATTTCTGTAGATTTTGTCTTTGTAACATCGTTAGTCTTGAGGACATTACTAACAAGGATAATGAGTTTTTTATTGACTACCATATAAAATCGATTATTCATTAAGGACTGAGTTTTTGGAACTATTTGGAGGAAAACACTCAAATTTACACAACTATATTTTGAACTAGTTTTGTTTCCCGTCAACCACGACAAGATAAAATTCAAATTGGTAGCTAGGATCCAATTT